AAAAAAAAAAGAAAAGAAAAGAAAACACATAAGGCATTGTATGGGTAGTCTTGGAAGAATAGGAATTTAAGTCAGAGACGTAAAATCCTATCTACATCTCTTTTGAAAATAGTTATGTTTGAATTAAGAGGGAAAATTATTTCACTTGCATATAGTTCAGTTTTTTTTTTTTTATTGCCTAAAGGGTAGTAATATCCTTACGCAGGGGCTTATAAAATAGTTTGAACTTAAAATAAGGTAATGCATATGAAAGTACTCTTAAAAATATCTTTCTTCAGGCTCAGCGCCTATGGCTCAAGCAGTTAAGGCGCCAGCCATGTACACCTGAGCTGGCAGCTTCGAATCCAGCCCGGGCCCGCCAAACAACAGTGACAACTGCAACCAAAAAATAGCTGGGCACCATAGTCCCAGCTACTTGGGAAGCAGAGGCAGGAGACTCGCTTGAGCCCAGGAGTTGGAGGTTGCTGTGAGCTGCGATGCCAAGGCACTCTACCCAGGACGACAGCTTGAGGCTCTGTCTCAAATCTTTCATCAATGAAAGTTCATATTGATTTACTAGTATTTCACAATGGTATAATTTCTAGTTCTTTTTTTAATAAGATTGGTTTTTAAAAAATAAGAGTAGGGGAAACCCTCTGGAAATTTAAAAGGATATTGTGGGCTTGGCACCCATAGCACAGTGGTTATGGCTTCAGCCATATGCACCAAGGCTGGCGGGTTCTAACCTGTCCCTGGCCAGCTAAACAACAATGACAACTGCAACAAAAAAATAGCTGGGCATTGTGGCGGGCCCCTGTAGTCCAGCTACTTGGGAGACTGAGGAAAGAGAATTGCTTAAACCCAAAAGAGTTTGAGGTTGCTGTGAGCTTTGATGCCACGGCTCTCTACCAAGGGTGACATACTGAGACTCTTGTCTCAAATAAATAAATAAAAGAATATTGTGAATGAAAATCAATTATTTGATTAATCACTTCGCGTTCAGTAAATGAACCATTACATATTATAAGCAGTGGTATTTCTTTTGACTATATGTTGGTTTGAGGTATGATTAAATGTATTTTTCTTACCTAAGGTGGGATCCCATCGTGTTCGTATGTCAAGGGGATTTGAAGCTAATGCACCTGCTTTTGACAGGTAAGTCTGATTATTTTTACATAGTCCTATAAGTTTTGATATTGCTAAGCAATGAAATTAAGTTTCATTTACTGATTCAATTCAACATCTTTGGCTCTAAGTAAAATTCCTTCTGACTCCTAATTTAACTGGAAGATTAGGGTACCTAATACTGTGATTTCTAGGGGTAATGGTGCTGGAAGTGTGGGTCTTGGTCTCTTGACATTAAAATTTCATCTGTGGGTACAGGACCCCCTACCGACAGGTAACTGCTAAGTACTTGAAATGTGATTAGTTCTAATTGAGATATGTTGTAAGTACACAATGCATAGCAGATGTTAGAGGTAGTATGAAAAAAAAAAAAGAATGTAAGCTATCTCATTAGAACATTTGTCCCTTGATATATATGGGGGATTGGTTCCAGGAACCACTTCCATTCCAAAATCAGTATATACTCAAGTCTCACAGATAGCATTGCAGAACCTGTGTATATGAAAAGTCTGCCCTCAATGTTTGTAGATTTTGCATGCCAAGAATACTGTATTTTTGATCTTCGTTTGGTTAAAAAAAAATCCACATGCAAGTGGACATGTGTACATTGTTCAAGGGCCAACTGAATTTGTTTTATATGGATTATATGTTGGAATGATATTTCAGATGTGTTGAATTAAATAAAATTATTAGAACTTCTATAGTTGTCCACCTCCTTACATTCATTACGTCCTTAAATTGTCTTATTTTTCATAGACTAGACATGCACTACATGTATGTGTCAGTATAGTAGGCCTAGTTCTTTTTGTTGACCACCTCTGTGTGTTGACCAGTTATAATCCCTTGGGTGGTCAACTTTCAGAGGTTCTACTGTAGCGGTTTTGAACTTGTGGGTTACGAACCCTTTTTAACAATGAAAATACATTGCAGCATTAAGAAGGTTGAGAACCACTGTTCTCCTATATATAGGGTGTCCATGAAGTTCATTATATCAGCTAATATACTTGTAAGTTTTAAATTGCACATGAACTTTATGGACATCCTGTATTTAATTTCATCTATTTCTTTTTACTTTTTTTAATGTTCCTTCTTGGAAATGTAACATTGTAAATATAGCTCACATTATATTTCCTTTGTTGTTGTTCTACATAGCTTCTGGGATGATTAGAACTGCAGGAGAGAAAAAAGATTCATATTTGGGGCCTATTTTTGTGAAAGCATGTAGAGTATAATAATGAGGTCCCTCCAAATGCTCATGGAGTATGTGATGTCCTTGTGCATGAGGTGCAGCCTTCGCCATCTGCCCGTACCGCTTTCATAGCCAAGCTAAAAGCTTGTGTCTGTCTGGTCTGGTGCCAGCCTCACAGAGTGGGCTGAGAGCTGGAGGTCTCTGTTGCTATAGCATAGGAGAGAATCCAGTACCCATAAGTCACAAAGAAAACTGCATTAATGGATTTTCATAAACTCAAGGTGTTAAGACCAGGTATAATGAATTTATACCAAATTTTGCCAATTCTGTGAGTTTGAAATACTACCACATAGATTCTGCTTAATAATGGATTCTTGTTTATTGAAAAAAAATTAGGCTTACCCATTTGGCGTATATTTATTTTCTTTCTTTATTAGGCATTTTAGAACACTTAAGAATTTATATGGTAAACAAATAATAGTAAATTTGCTTGGATCTAAGGAAGGTGAACATATGCTCAGTAAAGCTTTCCAGGTAAGTATGTCATTTCTTCTTTTGTTCTGGCCCTATTTATTTTTTTAATAAATAAAATAATACAATAATTAAATTCTCCCAGGAAGTAAATTACTTTCTTTTAATTTTTTTATTTATTTTTATTTTTTTATTTTTGAGACAGAGCCTCAAGCTATCCCCCTGGGTAGAGTGCTATGGCATCACAGCTCACAGCAACCTCCAACTCCTGGGTTCAAGCGAGTCTCCTGCCTCAGCCTCCCAAGTAGCTGGGACCACAGGCACCCACCACAATGCCCAACTATTTTTTGGTTGCAGCCGGCATTGTTGTTTGGTGGCCCGGGCTGGATTCAAACCCGCCACCTTAGGTGTATATGGCTGGCGCCTTAGCCACTTGAGCCACAGGCGCTGAGCCAGTAAATTACTTTCTAGACAAAGATTGGGTACTCATTGGAACCTTGAACTCTTTGGGCTATTAGGAAACAGTTAGGTTAAACTAATTTTGCTGAAATTGGGCTTATGGAAAGCTTTTAAGGCAGTTTGTTGGCTATTTTCTAATCTGCTTATTTATTTTGTAGAGAAACAAAAAAATACCATCCCCACCAAAATGTTCATCTATCACTAGCAGAGAAATGTCAGGCAGTTCCTTACTCATCTGTTCATTACTTTGCCTACTTCCTGGAAACCATAGTCCTTGTTTTAAACCTATGAAATTGAGAATAATCCATTTATATACATGCAAAACTATACCTTTTTGTATTAAAGAAAACTTGAGAATTTCAGGTACAAAAGAATTGAAAAAAATGCCTGATTTCTAGG